ATAATAATAATCAAAATAATAAATAAAATATTATAATAATATAATTACATAATTAGAATAATAATCAAATAATAATAAGAATAATAATTATAATACTAATAATACAAGAATTACAATAATAATAATAATCATAATAATAATAATATAATAATAATTATAATAATAATAATAATACAATAATTATAATAACAATAATAATTATAATAATAATAATAATAATTATAATAATGATAATAATAATAATAATAATAATAATAATAATTATAATAATAATAATAATAATCATAATTATAATAATAATAATAATAATTACAATAATAATAATAATAATAATTACTTTGACGTAAGTAGGTACACCAAATATTCAAACTCATATAATTAGTAAATACTGTAAAGCTAGTGAAGAGTTTCATCGGAGAAATTGCTTAGATAGGAGGCAACAGAGGTGGGATTTGAATATTCCTGGGATACAGTTTGCAACTCCGTAACATGGTAGGCCATATGCTCCTGTGGTGTGCTGCATAAAACTTCTGAAGAGTTTTGGTACTGATTTTGCGAAGGATTTGATTCACCTCCGTAAACGAAATTGTAGACCAGCTCCTGCATTTTCATTCTAACATAAATGGAATTTTTTTGCGCGGTGGAAGTGTTCTAACATGAGGAAGTAAGCTATCAAAAAAGTTTGAATCTTCATCGACGGTTCTTACTTGCTGATTTTGTAACATTTTTAATTTAATTTCCTCAATTCTAACAAGGGCCGAGCCGATATCTTTATCGTTTTGTTGTTTTCTCACTTTGCTAGGCTTAGTGAGAGTCGCGCCGTCGCTCCTCATTTAAAAGCCTGGGATTCACCTATCGAATTTCCTCAATTGTTCGAGAAACAGTAGTAGTAATTTGGGAATCATTACAGCCTGTACATATGAAAATTCCCACCGAACAACAGTTTACACAAATTGCTAAAGAATTCTATGATAAATGGAATTTCCCTAACTGTCTAGGAGCTATCGACGGGAAGCACATTCGAATAAAATGTCCTCATCACTCGGGAAGTATGTACTATAATTATAAGAATTATTTCTCCATTGTACTTCAAGCAGTCGCTGACGCAAACTGTAAGTTTGTTACAATTGACGTTGGGGGATACGGAAAGCAGAGTGATGGGGGTACTTTCCGTTATTCCTCCTTGTTTCATTTGTTAGATACTGGACGTCTGAACGTTCCCCCAGATAGTGTTTTACCTTCAAGCGCAGTTGTAGCTCCTTATGTCTCTATTGGGGATGAAGCGTTTATATTATTGAGAAATCTGCTTAAACCTTACAACAGAAGAAATTTGGATGTTGATAGAGAGTATTTTAATATGCGGCTTTCAAAAGCAAGGAGGACGGTAGAATGTGCATTTGGCATCATCAATGCTAAATTTCGCATTCTCTGGAAACATATAGAAATCTCTCCGGAGTGGGCTGATAAAATTATTAAATGTATTTGCCTATTACATAATATTATAATCGACAAGCAAGGATTAGATATTAAAAATGAAATAGTAATGCCACATTCTGAAACAGCAGACGGATCCCGACAAAATAACAGATCAACTGATACTGCGAATTTTGTTAGGGAATCTTACAAAATGTTTTTATGTCAAAATAAAATTTGAGAAGCCAAATAACTATGTATAATTATCGCTGTAAAACTGAATAAATGTTTGTTATAAGCACTTACTTGTAGAGTTCATTTCTTTGGCCACCGCATCCCACAACTTATCTAATATAAATCGATTATGGTGTTGAGGGTCCTTTTGATCCCAGAGAGCTTTTTTCATAAAAATACTAGTTATTAGTTCTTCGGTGTTCATTTTTCAATGTATACTATAAGCGATTACAGCAAAGAAAACAAACTTGTTTGAACGCTCTGCTTTGCTCGACTATAACAGCGCTTATCGCATCTCCGACGTTAGCCTCACTATGTGCGTTCAGATTTAAAAAACGTAACTTAATTTCGCTGCTTTGCTCGCCGCTCTCATTGCTGCTTTGCTCTCCTCTCCACTATGTGCTTAGCCTTAGGCTGAAAACATAGTGGAGCGGCGAGATGAGCGACGAGGAGAGCAGAGAGCAGAGCGGCGATTGAGTGTCGCGGTGATAAAAGAGATGCCTGCACATAGTAGCGCGATCAAAACAGAGAGATGGATCTGTTGTTAGCAGAAAATTCTTCTCTGAAAATTTGGTATTTTCTGAAAAATAGGAAGAGAAGTTGTAGTGTTCATGAAATAAATAAAAGTAGGCATGTACATGGTGAATTTCATCACCTGTATGAAGAACTAAGGCAGCATCCCGAGAAGTTTAAGTCTTATTTCCGAATGAGTATTGTAACCTTTGATTATATTGTGAAGAAAATTCAGCATAAGTTAGTAAAAAGTTGGACCAACTTTAATTGTAACCCTATTAGCCCAACAGAACGAGTTGCACTGACCTTAAGGTAAGTAAACGTGCACACTTTCAATTTTATATTTTATTCAGAACGAAAACCCAAACTAAAATGAAAGCACAAACATTACTCATATAGCTGTACCTATGTGAAAATATTAAAAATCATTAAGAGATTCTTCGGAAAAACTGGTCAAATAAGATCCAACTGATGCAGGATTCGAGGAGACCCTTAGAGGCTGCAAATCAATTATTTGGGATGAATTTACTTCATATACATCATGCATATTTTGAGCTTGATGATTACTTTGCCTTTGAGTAGCTTGACTAGGCGGCTGATCATTGTAAATAAAGTTATAAACAAGTTCCTGAATTCTCATTCTTAATAACATTTTTCTTTGTGGGGTGAGCGGGCGAATGTGTGGTAGAAGGCTGTCAAAAAAGCAATCGTCTTCATCAAGGGTTTTTTTCTCTTTTTCTAGAATCCTGAGTTTTTGTTCTTCTAATCTTATAAGTGCAGCACCAACATCTGTGTCATTTTGGTTCTTTCGTTTTAATTTGTTAACAGTAGGTGTGATAGTTAAACTGCTTTTGTTTTGAGACGAATCGTTCGTCAGTGGTAATTTATCGGCATAAGTAGAATCATCCAAGTTTGGCTTATTTGGTTCTGATCGGTGTTCTGATAACTGGGTGTTTGTTTCTTCATCCAGAATATTGATGTTTTGCTCAGTTTCGGGCAAATTTCCGGTGCTTACTCGGGCAGTAAATTGGTCTTTTAAAAAATAAAGACTATCAAAATATTGCCAAGATGATGTCCAAGAGGATGCCTCATCCCCCGATCGTTGTACTGGCTTTTTTTTAAGTTCTTTGCGAAATGTGTCTCGCAAGTTTTTCCATTTTGTCCTCACGATACTCCCTGAAATGAGAAAATATTTTTACCAGAATTTAAGCTTGAAGAAGTTTTTTTTTCAGGTTTTTGGCAACGGGATCATCTTTTAAAACTCTTAGTTTTACTTTTCGAATGGGTGCTACGACCGTGTCATCAATTGTGCGAGAAACAGTAAAAGCTATGTGGGACATATTACAACCTCTGCATATGAAACTTCCTACCGAAAATGACTTCAAGAACACTGCAAAAGAATTCTACGAAAAATGGAATTTTCCCAATTGTCTGGGGGCAATTGACGGAAAACATATTCGTGTGAAATGTCCTCCTCACTCTGGAACTATGTACTATAATTACAAAAACTTCTTTTCTATTGTTCTCCAAGCTGTTACTGATGCAAATTATAGATTTATAACGATTGATGTTGGAGGGTATGGCAAGCAGAGTGACGGGGGTACATTCCGATCCTCATCTCTATTTCATCTGATTGAGAGTAAACGTCTAAATATTCCTGAAGATGGTACATTACCGCTCACTATGATCACTGTACCCTATGTTTTTATCGGAGATGAAGCCTATCCTTTATTAAATAATCTAATGAAACCTTTTAATAGAAGAAATTTAGATGCAGAAAAAGAATATTACAATATGCGCCTTTCACGTGCAAGACGTGTAGTAGAGTGTGCTTTTGGAATCATCAGTGCCAAGTTTCGTATTCTTTTCAAGCCCATAGAAGCCTCTCCAGACTTAGCAGATGATATTATTAAGTGTATCTGTATTCTACACAATACAATAATTGATATAGAGGGCATTCCAATTCAAGATGAACAATTTTTGTCCCAATCCGAGTCTCAATGTAATAACTCGGACGTTGTGCGAGCAAATAATAGGCCAACAGCATCTGCCACTTTTATTAGAGAGACGTATAAAAATTACGTATGTAGAAATAAAATTTAAAAATATATACTCACTTGTTGTTTTCATTTCTTCGGCCACAGCATCCCACAGTTTATCCAAAACAAAGCGGTTATGGTGCTGAGAGTCTTTCTGATCCCATAGGGGATTTTTAACAAAAACACTAGTAATAAATGCATCAACATCCATTTTTAATACACAGTATTTCCGCAGCGAGGAGAGCAGAGAAAACAAATCTGCTTGGTCTCGCCGCTATCCTCTCTTATAGCAACGCAGTTACCTCGCTTGAGCTCGCCTCACTATGTTATACTCGATTGGAACTATTGCTTTTGTTTTCGCCGCTCTCCTCTCTGCTCTGCTCGTCGCTCTTCTCACCGCTCCACTATGTGTTCAGCCTTAGACGACCACACTATGATCCACGCCTCTGTCTCAACAATGAACGCATACCCTGTGTGTCTTCTGTAAAATTCCTAGGCCTAACACTCGACAGTAAACTGACATGGAGAAAACACATTGAGGATCTTACCAACAGGTGCAAGAGAGCCCTAAACCTAATAAAATGCCTGTGGTCAACACGATTCAGAGCAGAAGCTGAGATGCTGTTGCGGATATACAAAAGCATCATTCTATCTAAGCTTGACTACGGTAGCATTGTTTACTCATCTGCAAGACCGTCACTGCTTAAAAAACTTGATACAGTTCACAACCAAGGATTACGTCTCTGCCTTGGAGCATTCCGTACAACTCCAGCAGCTAGCCTCTATTGCGAATCCGGAGTTGAATCCATTAGACGTAAAAAACTTGCACTATCGTATTCTGCACAGATTCAAACACGACCATTCCATAGAAACTTTTCTATCATTTACAGTACGGATGAGAGCTACATCTGTCGCCCCACAATAACAAGACCTCTCAGAGTCCGAGTTAAAGAATATGCCGAGGAAATTGGTATATCATGTAACCCTATCTATAATGTTAAACACAGAGAATCTCCTCCATGTCTGTCACCCAAAATAAATGTGAATCTCGAGCTGACTGCTCTACCTAAGAATGACCATCCATCTGAACTCATAAAATCACGTTTTATGGAAATCGTTTCTAAATAGCCGGCAGCACCAGTTATCTATACAGATGGATCGCGAACTGACAGTGGTGTCGGCTGTGCTATAGCAGTCGATCAAACTGCACATCAATGGACAATATCACCAATAGCATCCATATTTACTGCTGAATAATATGCTATTTGGCAGGCCCTACGATATTGTGACATGTCGAATAACATAACAACAGCTATTATAGCTAGTGACTCGCTCTCAGCACTTCAAGGCCTAATGAACTATGCATCTCGAGATTCCTTAACTGTGATGTGGCTTGAAACTGTCAAA